TACATCAGAAAATACATACTGGTGTGAGAGAGTACATGTGCTTTGAGTGTGAAAAGACTTTTACTACAGCAAACTGTTTAAAACAGCATGAGAGGATTCACACTGGAGAGAAACCTTACAAGTGTTCACACTGTGACAAGAGATTCAGTCGGTCAGCAAATCTGAAAACACACGAGAGGATCCGCACTCGAGAGAAACCATATCACTGCACTGCATGTGGGAAGTGTTTCAATCATTCATCTTCTCTACACAGTCATACAAAAAACAATCACAGTAAGTAGATCATCTTCAGATCTGATGCTGCTTCAGAACCAGCAAATTGAACTGTAAGATTCAGATCAACTCAAAGATGGAGTTCCTCCCCGAAGAACAATGTCAAAATGTTTTATTATTGTATATAATTTTGCTTCATGATATGAATGATATCATTGTGCTTTCTTAATAATATTATGAGTTTCATAAAAGGTTCATATAAAGTTCAGTTGTCATTACTGACAGTCAAACAGCAAAAGAATGCCAATGTCTTTTCCTCACATCCTTTGGCTGGCATTACAGTAGTTTTGATCTCTCTACCATTGCGCCGCTCACAGCTGAGCACGGATGGTCTGCAGGATCTGATGAACTCCACATCCTCAATTATAGTGATGAAAAAATGACTCGCCATCTCCTAATTGGATGTGCCTTTAGAGAGAAATGCACGGATTACATAATGAAAGAGTTTATTTTATTAGGAGTCTATTTTCGATTTGAATTATTTCGTTTTAAAGTAGTAATTTAAAGCTAGTAATTTAAATTGAAAGCTTTCTATATTCTATTTTCGTGAAGCGCTCCTGTTCAAGCCCGAGACGGCAGAAGAAAAAGCAGCTATACAATTATAGGACAAAGTTTTACATGTATGACATTATAATTTGTGTTTTTTTTTTTAATTGTACAGAATTATAAAATAAAACGCTAATTATAATCGGGCCTTCCATCAATTATAGTGATGAAAAAATGACTCGCCATCTCCTAATTGGATGTGCCTTTAGAGAGAAATGCACGGATTACATACTAAAATAGTTTATTTTATTAGGAGTCTATTTTCGATTTGAATTATTTCGTTTTAAAGTAGTAATTTAAAGCTAGTAATTTAAATTGAAAGCTTTCTATATTCTATTTTCGTGAAGCGCTCCTGTTCAAGCCCGAGACGGCAGAAAGCGATTGTTTTCTTTATTTTATAAAAGCACAACATTTTGTTGATATTGTGAGTGCACACAAATAAAACTAGACCCTTTACAGTTTAGAATGACGTATTACTCTTACCTCTATGAGCAAAAATGACTGCTAATTAACAGAGGTTTAGATGTTGATGTTTTATTTAAAACAGCTGAAACATACTGTTTAGTTGCTACAGAAAATGTTCATTTTCTTCAAGTTTGCATTTATGGTCATATATTTGTACACGAGGCATTTGCTTACAGAGAGCTGTGAACAAAGCAGTCAGTGGAGAGGCAATAGATGGTGATAACTGAAAAACGCTGGGTTTATTATTGAGCAGAGAGACAGTTTAATGGCTGATAGGATCCACGAGCTTCTACGCAACCACAACTGTTTCTGAGGAACTACATTGTTTGGTGGAAGAATACTGTTTTTATTAATATCATTACACTTTATTTGCTCAGTTTTATTTTGTGAAACCTTACTACGTATATGGAATAACTGTTTTATAAAAGCAATAAGCCCCAAGAAGCCGTCGTTTACAGTGAATTTATAACAGCTAAGGGGAGTTGTTAGGGGCTTGTTGCTTTATTTGAACACTTTTTATCTTCTGTCTAGATATGCACCCTTTTTGCAAGGCATTTTTTCTGTTTCTTTATCTAATTTTATATTTTAGTTTTTAAATTTGGCCCATGGCATCAGTTCTCAATGAAACGTGTTGTAATGGCTGACATCTAATTCTGTGAGATGCGTGAGTTTCTCTTCACAGCCGGCACACACTAAAAAAAGAAAGACTACAGAAGCTTTTATTGAGAATTAACAGAGGTTTAGATGTTGATGTTTTATTTAAAACAGCTGAAACATACTGTTTAGTTGCTGTAGAAAATGTTCATTTTCTTCACGTTTGCATTTATGGTCATATATTTATACATGAGGCATTTGCTTACAGAGAGCTGTGAACAAAGCAGTCAGTGGAGAGGCAATAGATGGTGATAACTGAAAAACGCTGGGTTTATTATTGAGCAGAGAGACAGTTTAATGGCTGATAGAATCCATGCACATCTACTCTCAGCAAATCATCTCTAGCAGCTGCTGCAGTTTGACAGGAGACTCTCAGGATGCTTCTACACTTCAACAACTTTAAAACATGCAACATTTTAAAAGGCTTAAAAAGTTTTGAATTAATTTATTTGTTTTAATTTAAATCTTCCAAATAATTGTCAAAATGTTATGTGTATATTGCTATGTTTCTCATATACTTTCAATAAAAGTGTCTGTGAAATTAACAAATCTGAATATAATAGCAGAAAAGCAAATGTCAAGGCTTCTTTGCTTTCTGTGAGTCAAACATCAGTTATTTTCAGCTTTTATATGATAATACAGTTGACCACAGAAAAGGTATTGACCACTTATTAATTTATTCATTGATAATAAGCTTTAAATAGTTATATGTTTCCTGTATAAACCCTTTGTGTAAACTCTTGATAACTAGCATCTTAACTATTAAGACTGCTCAGTTAAAGAGGAATCAAACTGAGGATATTTTGGTCATGGTTTGAGTATTTGAAGGTGGAGATATTGATAAATACACTCCTCTCATCTCCAGTGCAGATTCTGGGTAGATACTCATTTATCATGTCATGCATTTGATTCCTGATCTTAGAGAAGAGCAGAGTGTTGAACTGAAAACCTCTGAGCAGATCAGTGAGGTGGAGTTTCTCATGACTCTGATGGAGAACGCTTGAGGAAAACTGAACTGGGATCAAGATGAAGCAGATGTGATTCTGTTGTTCTTTTATTATTATTTTCATCAGCTTTGTCTCAGATCATCTCTCCAGAGCTTCAAGAAGTAAAGCTTCATCCTTCATCATCAGGTCTGAGCGCTGCAGCAGAGCGTCCATCATGTGAAAGAGATGCTGCTCCACACTGGAGATCTTATGAGAAACTCATGCTATCTAAACATGCAAGGGGAGATCAAAAGTTCAGAGACTATGCCCATCATGATAAACAATGGAAAACAGGGTAGCGTTGGTCTGTTTGTGTAATGATGCAGTATAGCACTCCCGACAGACAGCTCTCTTTCTAAAGGGCCATTTTCACATCGCTCTTTTACATCGTGTACAGTGACTAAAATAAGTATTTTACCACAGTAAAGTGACTTTTACTTTACTGGACTGACTAATCCCCACATACAGGGAATTACAATAGTCCAGACGTGAAGACACAAATGCATGCATCACTCTCTTGAAATCATAAAACGACAAAAATGGCTTGACATTTGTCAGTGTTCTTAATTGAAAAAAGCCTGATCTGACAAAAGCATTGATCTGTTGGTAAAATTTTAACGACTCATCAAAAAGTACCCCTACATCTTTTACCATGGATTTGCCATGAATAGATAAAGGGCCTACATCAAACTTAGGGGACCCAGATGTATTTGGGGGTGCAAACACTAAGGTTTCATTTCAGTTTTAGATTCATTCATATGCAAAAAATTATCCAACATGCAGCATTACCAGAGTCCACAGTTAACAAAACATCATTAAGAACCTGGGTTAGGGTTAGGAAAGTTCATGTTTTTGTTTTGGGAGTCCACATCAACATGTTGACATGCATGCAAGGTCAAAAACATTTTCATTGTCATATAATATGCATTTATTTTTACCTTATTTGCTCAATGACTCCCAAACAATTCGTTCAACAATTAATTTTTCCAAACCCCTCCTTTGCGTCACGCTAATCTGCAGCGATTGGTCCGATGACCCAGTCTGTTGTGATTGGTCTACTGCGTGCAAACGGAACGCCTGTTGACGTCAACATGAAACGGCTAAAGATTCGTTTTAAAAACAACTCGTTTCTGTACTGATTCATCAACACGGCTGGGATCCATTTGCAATTTTATTTGAAATTGAATCAAACGACAAGTCGAAGGGGCAGGCAGCAAATCAACAAGAGACAAAAGGCAGGCAGAGGTAACAACAGAAGGCAGTCCAATGAAACCGGAATAATGCTTAGAAATGTTCACCAAGGCAAAACAAGACTTTGCAGAGAGTCTGTGTGAAAGAGCTCATTAAAGAGTCTAAAGTAATGGGGAACAGGTGTGGGGGAATGATCAGTGACAGGTACAGGGCTGATGGGAAATGTAGTGCGGGGAGTAAACTAGTACTCTGGTGACGGAGCCCTCTGGTGGCCCGAAGACAGAGTAACAGAAGCGCTCTCCGTAACACAAACTGATAAAAATTAAAATTTGCTGAACATTTATTCATCTTCAGGTCTTCCAAGATGTAGATGAGTTTGTTTCTTCTTCTTGATATTCAAATGACGATTGTTTTCTGCTGCCACATTTATCAACATACGATCATTCGTACGATGAGATTAGCGGCATACGAATGTTTCATGAATCACACGTGAACTCTGTCGTAAGTTGATTTGTGCGCACAGATCTGCGCTCGTTTCTATGTTAGATTGATAAATGAGGCCCAGTAACTTTATACACGGTGCACTTTCAGATTGAAAACTTCTCAGGATGTTTTCATTAACTTAGAGCTGTTACACACTGCATGAAAGGTCATTTTCAAAAATCCATAATAGGGGCACTTTAAAAGTGCATATTCTGTACTGTGATGCTCCCTAAACCCAGATTGAAATACTTCAAAGAGAGAATTTATATTCAAGAAAGACTGCATCTGACTGAGAACTGCTTTGTCCAACACTTTTGAGAGAAAAGGCATTTTTGAAATAGGTCTATAATTGCAATACACTGTAGAGTCCAAATTAATGTTTTTAATTAGAGGCTGCACCACAGCATGTTTAAAAGAAGCCGGAACAACCCCTGATACAAGGCAACTATTTATAATAGATAAAACACTAGGC